GGGGGGGGATGGTGTGTGTGTGTCCCACAGTGTGTGAGCTGCTGCCTGCTCTTTCTTGTTGCTGACCCCTGTTGTTTGCTCAGAAAGCCAATAAGTGAATGATTACCACCATTAGTACTCAGTATCCTGCTTTAAACCATGAGAACAGGACCATCGATGGACAACACGTCTAGGTGGAACTGAAGGAGAGAGTCCACAGAATGTCTTGATTTGATTGGAAATAACAGAAGCCCTCAGCAGAGGTAGAATTAAAGAAATGACGCAACAAATCCACAAGGCAAGAATTTAGACTCGTCATTTTTGTTTTTTTATTTCACCTTTATTTAACCAGGTAAGTCAGTTGAGAACAAGTTCTAATTTACAACTGCGACATGGCCAAGATAAAGCAAAGCAGTGCGATTAAAAACAACAACACAGTTACATATGGGGTAAAACAAAACAAAGTCAAAAATACAACAGAAAATATATATACAGAGTGTGCAAATGTAGCAAAGTTATTGAGGTAAGGCAATAAATAGGCCATAGTGCAAAATAGTTACAATTTCGTATTAACACTGGAATGATAGATGTGCAAATAGAGATACTGGGGTGCAAATTAGCAAAATAAATAACAATATGGGGATGAGGTAGTTGGATGGGCTAATTACAGATGGGCTGTGTATAGGTGCAGTGATCGGTAAGCTGCTCTGACAACTGACGCTTAAAGTTAGTGAGGGAGATAAGTGTCTCCAGCTTCAGATATTTTTGCAGTTCGTTCCAGTCATTGGCAGCAGAGAACTGGAAGGAATGGCGGCCAAAGGAGGTGTTGGCTTTAGGGATGAACAGTGAGATATACCTGCTGGAGCGCAGACTAAGGGTGGGTGTTGCTATGGTGACCAGTGAGCTAAGATAAGACCGGGATTTGCCAAGCAGTGATTTATAGATGACCTGGAGCCAGTGGGTTTGGCAACAAATATGTAGTGAGGGCCAGCCAACAAGAGCGTACAGGTCACAATGGTGGGTAGTATATGGGGTTTGGTGACAAAACAGATGGCACTGTGATAGACTACATCCACTTTGCTGAGTAGAGTGTTGGAGGCTATTTTGTAAATGACATCGCCGAAGTCAAGGATCGGTAGGATAGTCAGTTTTACGAGGGCATGTTTGGGAGCATGAGTGAAGGAGGCTTTGTTGCGAAATAGGAAGCCGATTCTGGATTTAACTTTGGATTGGAGATGCTTAATGTGAGTCTGGAAGGAGAGTTTACAGTCTAACCAGACACCTAGGTATTTGTAGTTGTCCACATACTCTAGGTCAGACCCGCCGAGAGTAGTGATTCTAGTCGGGTGGGCGGGTGCAAGCAGCATTCGGTTGAAGAGCATGCATTTTAGTTTTACTAATGTTTAAGAGCAGTTGGAGGCTACGGAAGGAGTGTTGTATGGCGTTGAAGCTCGTTTGGAGGTTTGTTAACACAGTGTCCAATGAAGGGCCAGATGTATACAAAATGGTGTCGTCCGCATAGAGGTGGATCCGAGCGTCACTAGCAGCAAGAGCAACATCATTGATATACACAGAGAATAGAGTCGGCCCGAGAATTGAACCCTGTGGCACCCCCATAGACTGCCAGAGGTCCAGACAACAGGCCCTCAGATTTGACACTTTGAACTCTATCTGAGAAGTAGTTGGTGAACCAGACGAGGCAGTCATTTGAGAAACCAAGGCTATTTAGTCTGCCAATAAGAAAGCGGTGGTTGACAAGAGTCGAAAACCTTGGCCAGGTCGATGAAGACGGCTGCACAGTACTGTCTATTATCGATCACGGTTATAATATCGTTTAGGACCTTGAGCGTGGCTGAGGTGCACCCATGACCAGCTCGGAAACCGGATTGCATAGCGGAGAAGGTACGGTGGGTTTCGAAATGGTCGGTGATCTGTTTGTTAACTGGGTTTTCAAAAACTTTCGAAAGGCAGGGCAGGATGGATATAGGTCTGTAACAGTTTGGAGAGGGGGATGACCGCAGCAGCTTTCCAATCTCTGGGGATCTCAGACGTTTTGAAAGAGAGGTTGAACAGGCTAGTAATAGGGGTTGCGACAATTTCGGCGGCTAATTTTAGAAAGAAAGGGTCCATATTGTCTAGCCCAGCTGATTTGTAGGGGTCCAGATTTTTCAGCTCTATCAGAACATAAGCTGTCTGAATTTGTGTAAAGGAGAAGTGGGGGGTGGGGCATGGGCAAGTTGCAGCAGAGGGTGCAGAGCTGGTGGCCGGGGTAGGGGTAGCCAAGTGGAAAGCATGGCCAGCCATAGCAAAATGCTTGTTGAAATTCTCAATTATTGTAGATTTATCGGTGGTGACAGTGTTTCCTAGCCTCAGTGCAGTGGGCAGTTGGGAGGAGGTGCTCTTATTCTCCATGGACTTTAGTGTCCCAAAACTTTTTGGAGTTAGTGCTACAGGATGCACATTTCTGTTTGAAAAAGCTAGCCTTTGCTTTCCTAACTGATTGTGTATATTGGTTCCTGACTTCCCTGAAAAGTTGCATGTCGCGGGGGCTGTTCGATGCTAATGCAGTACGCCACAGGATGTTTTTGTGCTGGTCAAGGGCAGTCAAGTCTGAGGAGAACCAGGGGCTATATCTGTTCTTAGTTCTGATTTTCTTTAATGGGGCATGCTTATTTAAGATGGAGAGGAAAGCACTTTTTAAAGAACAACCAGGCATCCTCTACTGACGGAATGAGGTCAATATCCATCCAGGATACCCGGGACAGGTCAATTAGAAAGGCCTGCTTGCTAAAGTGTTTTAGGGAGCGTTTGACAGTGATGAGGGGTGGTCGTTTGACCGCGGACCCATTACGAACGCAGGCAATAAGGCAGTGATCGCTGAGATCCTGGTTGAAGACAGCGGAGGTGTATTTAGAGGGTAAATTTGTCAGCATGATATCTATGAGGGTGCCCATGTTTACAGATTTTGGGTTGTACCTGGTAGATTAGTTGATAATTTGTGTGAGATTGAGGGCATCTAGTTTAGATTGTAGGTTGGCCGGGGTGTTAAGCATATCCCAGTTTAGGTCACCAAGCAGTACGAAATCTGAGGATAGATGGGGGGCAATCAGTTCACATATGGTGTCCAGGGCACATCTGGGGGCTGAAGGGGGGATGTAGAAAGCGGCAACAGTGAGAGACTTATTTCTGGAATGGTGGATTTTTAGAAGTAGACGCTCAAACTGTTTGGGCACAGACCTGGATAGTACAATAGAGCTCTGCAGGCTATCTCTACAGTAGATTGCAACCCCACCCCCTTTGGCAGTTCTATCGAGACGGAAAATGTTGTAGTTGGGGATGGAAATGTCTGAATTTTTTGGTGACCTTCCTAAGCCAGGATTCAGACACTGCTAGAACGTCAGGGTTGGCGGAATGTGCTAACGCAGTGAATAACTAAAACTTAGGGAGGAGGCTTCGGATGTTAACGTGCAAAAAAACAAGGCTTTTACGGTTACAGAAGTCAACAAATGATAATGCCTGGGGAGTAGGAGTGATACTGGGGGCTACAGGGCCTGGGTTAACCTCTACATCACCAGAGGAACAGAGGAGGAGTAGAATAAGGATACGGCTAAAGGCTTTAAGAACTGGTCTTGTAGTGCGTTGGGTACAGAGAATAAAGGGGGCAGATTTCCGGGCGTTGTAGAATAGATTCAGGGCATTATGTACAGACAAGGATATGGAAGGATATGAGTATAGTGGAGGTAAACCTAAGCGTTGGGTAACGATGAAAGAGAGCATCACTGGAGGCACCGATTGAGTCGGTCTCCGCATGTATGGGGGGGGGGTGGGACAAAGGAGCTGTCTAAGGCAGGTTGAGCTGGGCTGGGGGCTCTACAGTGAAATAGTACAATAAGAAATAACTGAAACAGCAATAAGCAAGGCATATTGACATGGGAGAGAGGCATAAAGCAATCACAGGTGTTATTCGAAAGAGCTAAGACAACCGCTTGTAACAGCGACAAAGTTTGGGCTGAGGCTAAACATAAACAGGATGCGGTACCGTATAAAGGAACAGTCCAGCAGGCATCAGCTGTATAGCTGAGTTATCATAAGGTCCAGTGAACAGCAATAGGAGAGTTCGGAGGTAGTTCGGGGGCTGCTACAGCACTGGCGAGCAAGAGGCCCGGCTTGCGTGTGCTAGTGGGCCGGGGCTAGCAGATGGATCTTCGTGGTCGACGTAGTAACGGGAAGCCTGTTGAAACCACATCAGACGATTTTGTCGGCAAACCAGTCGTGTTGGATCGGTGGGGCTCCGTGTCAACACTAGGAGGTCCCGTCCGGTTGACAGAGAGGTAGATAGCCGGGAGATGGGCCTGGCTCGAGGCTAGCTCAAGGCTAACTGGTGCTTGCTAAGGGGCAATGGTAATTAGCCAACGACAACAGCCATTTGGTTGCAGCTAGCTGGTTGCGATGATCCGGCGCTAGGGTCCAGTGATTCTGGCAGAAAATCCGATATGCTCTGGGTCGATAGCAAGCTGTGCAGACTGGCCGACAAATTGTCCAGGCTAGAGCTAGAGCTGGCTGGTGGGTAGTGCCACGGACAATGGTGAAGACGCTGACGGTGGCTAATAGCAAGTAGCCATTCGGTGGCAGCTAGACTAGTTTCAGCTTAAGGTTCTTGATAAAAGTTATAAAGAAATAATAGAATCCTTTCCACGTGGGTGAGGCGGGTTGCAGGAAAGTATATTTAGTTAAGGAATGAAAAGTAAAATTGAGAAATCTATACAAAATAGACAAAAAACTTGCTATTTACACAAGGACACAGAAAAAAAACACGACCGCACTGCTACGCCATCTTGACATGATGGCCTTGGCTGGGAATAATATTTATGCCTCTCTCTCTCTCTCTTTCTCTGTGTGTGTGTGTGTGAGAACAGCTTAGTTCTGAACACAGTGTGTCTCATACTGTTTTCCTGGCCATCTCTATAGTGAGGTGTTGAGACAGTTTTGTGAGGTGTTGACACAGTTGGTCTTTCTTGCCTACAGGTTGCTGCCACACCCCTCCCCCCCTCTGCATCCCATTGGCTGCTGTTCCCCAGGGGGCGGAGCTCAGTATGGGTTTAGAGCTGTGAGGCCAGACTGAGAAGACAGTGAAGCCTGACACACCCTCCGCCCGCCTCACAGGTAAGACCAACAGCCTTTACACACACCCTCCGCCCGCCTCACAGGTAAGACCAACAGCCTTTACACACACCCTCCGCCCGCCTCACAGGTAAGACCAACAGCCTTTACACACGCACTTAACCGGCCGCACAGGTAAAACCAACTGTTATGCGCACACACACACACACACACCCATAATGCCTGAAACACTCCACCTACACAGGTAAAATAACATTAGGCAGTCAATGCATTAAAGCTTGCTTGTGTTCTATAGCTGAGAGTGGAGGATGGCGGAGGGGGATAGACACAGATTGAGAGAGATGGAGATGGAAGAGAGGATAGATGAGAGGACACAGGGGGCCTGAAGACACTGGTGCAGAAGGGTTGCTAGGAGGCAGCGGAACTAAAACAATACAGAGAGATGGAAGAGAGAGGGAGACAGCGAAAGGGGAGATGGAGATGAGAGAGGGAGACAGAGAAAGGGTAGATGGAGATGGAAGAGAGAGGGAGATGGAAGAGAGAGGGAGACAGCGAAAGGGTAGAGGGAGATGGAAGAGAGAGGGAGACAGCGAAAGGGTAGATGGAGATGGAAGAGAGAGGGAGACAGAGAAAGGGTAGAGGGAGATGGAAGAGAGAGGGAGACAGCGAAAGGGTAGATGGAGATGGAAGAGAGAGGGAGACAGCGAAAGGGTAGATGGAGATGGAAGAGAGAGGGAGACAGCGAAAGGGTGGATGGAGATGGAAGAGAGATGGAGATGGAAGAGAGAGGGAGACAGCGAAAGGGTGGATGGAGATGGAAGAGAGAGGGAGACAGCGAAAGGGTAGATGGAGATGGAAGAGAGAGGGAGACAGCGAAAGGGTAGATGGAGATGGAAGAGAGAGGGAGACAGTGAAAGGGTAGATGGAGATGGAAGAGAGATGGAGACAGCGAAAGGGTAGATGGAGATGGAAGAGAGAGGGAGATGGAAGAGAGAGGGAGACAGCGAAAGGGTAGATGGAGATGGAAGAGAGAGGGAGATAGAGAAAGGGTAGATGGAGATGGAAGAGAGATGGAGACAGCGAAAGGGTAGATGGAGATGGAAGAGAGATGGAGATGGAAGAGAGAGGGAGACAGCGAAAGGGTAGATGGAGATGGAAGAGAGAGGGAGACAGAGAAAGGGTAGATGGAGATGGAAGAGAGAGGGAAACAGCGAAAGGGTAGATGGAGATGGAAGAGAGAGGGAGACAGCGAAAGGGTAGAATGAGGGAGAGCTGAGGAAGCCAGATAAAGGACACCTGGAAGTATTGAGGGGAAGAAATCAGAAATGGAGGGGTTGGCAAAGGAGAGAATGGAGGGAGGGTTTTGGTAAAGAGGGAGATCATTGTGTTTGAATGAGAGGAGGCCTCTGAAAAGGGTTGGGGGGAGGGGAGAGGGATTTGGCCTGCTTTTCTTCAGCCTTGCTCAGGTGGGTTGTTCGGCTCATTCCAACTGGAGAATAACAAAAGAAAAACGTAAATATTTGATTTGTCAGAACAGGAATCCTGTCATTTTTTAGGATACCGATCAGGTGGTGGCCAGGTCATAGCAGCAGTTCAATGCAACACACTATGTTCTTGTCATGAAAATCAATGCAAATGATTCACCCATTTTTGCATTTCACGTGTCAGTACAGACGATAACTCAAGTAAATGAAGTAACCCAATGAAAAGGGGATAGTTGTATAAGGATTTTATAGACCCAAATCTCCAGGATCCCATCCTCTCTTATTCAACCTGTTGAGTCACTCCGAGACGAGGTTCAAATTAGTGTGTGTAAAGGGAGTGTGTGTTTAGGTGGAGGGGGAGTGTGTGGGTTTAGGTGGAGGGGGAGTGTGTGTGTGTGTGTGTGTGTTTAGGTGGAGGGGGAGTGTGTGTGTTTAGGTGGAGGGGGAGTGTGTGTGTGTTTAGGTGGAGGGGGAGTGTGTGTGTGTTTAGGTGGAGGGGGAGTGTGTGTGTGTTTAGGTGGAGGGGGAGTGTGTGTGTGTTTAGGTAGAGGGGGAGTGTGTGTGTGTTTAGGTGGAGGGGGAGTGTATGTGGGTGTGCCCCCACACCCACATCCTTGTGGTTATGATTTCACCTTGGTTGGCTGTATCAGCTGTGATCTTGTAGGGTTACATTTACATTTTAGTCATTTAGCAGACGCTCTTATCCAGAGCGACTTACAGTTAGTGAGTTGGAATCCAAACCTGCACAGCCAGTATCTCTCCTAGGTTGTGCTGTTGTTATCGGTCAGACCTGGACCACAGATTGGGAGCATGAGGCTCTCTGGAGTGAGAAGCACATGATCAATTATTCGCTGCCTAAAAACATTGAATTTCCCTAAATAACCATTCCAACTGTCCTGAAATACTTTCTGCCAATTTCAAAATAGTTATTTCATATGTTCAAACTGCCCCAAAACGTCTCAACCGTAGAGTCAAACAGAGTTTGAATAAATTGTGGATTTGCAGTCTGACTACCATTCAGCTCAAATTGCTCCTGCATTCTGTGAAAATGGTTAAAGGCATTGATTCTTAGAAACCCGTGTTCACTTGAAGCGTTACATTATTCACTTCCCCCTGAGGCCTTAGAGGAGAAAGAAATGTGGGCAGTTTGTAGTCATGTGTTTTTACACTAACTGGCCATATTAACTGAGGGGAGATTTCCATCCTATTAAATGTTTTAATGAAGAGACGATTTGACCACTAATTCTAGTCTGCGTGTGTGTGCAAAGCATTTAAGCATTTTGTTGCATTGTGTACATGACAAATAAACAAACTTGAATGTGTTCCTCATCTCTCTCTCAATCCCCCCCTCCCTCATCTCTCTCTCTCTCCCCCCTCCCTCATCTCTCTCTCTCTCTCCCCCCTCCCTCATCTCTCTCTCTCTCTCCCCCCTCCCTCATCTCTCTCTCTCTCCCTCATCTCTCTCTCTCTCTCCCCCTCCCTCTCTCTAGGTGGCTAGAGGTCAGAGGTCGTAGCTAGGGGTCATGGCGGGCCTGAGGAGGAAGCTGAAGTTTGTGTTGACGCTGATGATGGTCAATCTCTTCATTTTCATCCTAGTGTCCCACAGCAGAGGACAGGACAAGAGCGGACCCAACAAGGTGAGGACAAAGTGTGGGGGGGGGGGTGACAGGACAAAGTGTGGGGGGGTGGTGACAGGACAAAGTGTGGGGGGGTGGTGACAGGACAAAGTGTGGGGGGGTGGTGACAGGACAAAGTGTGGGGGGGTGGTGACAGGACAAAGTGTGGGGGGGGGTGACAGGACAAAGTGTGGGGGGGGGTGACAGGACAAAGTGTGGGGGGGTGGTGACAGGACAAAGTGTGGGGGGGTGGTGACAGGACAAAGTGTGGGGGGGTGGTGACAGGACAAAGTGTGGGGGGGGTGGTGACAGGACAAAGTGTGGGGGGGTGGTGACAGGACAAAGTGTGGGGGGGTGGTGACAGGACAAAGTGTGGGGGGGTGGTGACAGGACAAAGTGTGGGGGGGTGGTGACAGAACAAAGTGTGTGCAAAGCTGTCATCAAGGCAAAGGGTGGCTACTTTGAAGAAGCTAAAATATTTTTAAAAAATTGATTTGTTTAACACTTTTTTGGTTACTACATGATTCCATATGTGTTAGTTCATAGTTTTGATGTCTTCACTATTATTCTACAATGTAGAAAATAGTTTTAAAAAAAAAAAAGAAAAACCCTGGAATGAGTGTCCAAACTTTTGACTGGTACTGTATGTATTGTTTTTCTTGGTTTAGACAATTCTGTATTGTTTTAATTTGTAAAATAAATGTAATACATTTCCTCCTTCCTTCCTCCATTCAAGGTCCGTGTCCCCTCCAAGCGCTTCTGGTCCAAACTGGCTCCTAGTCAGGCCTACTGGAACCGCCAGCAACAGAGACTGGACCTCCAACACAACCCTGTCCTCGCCTCCGCTAATAACAACAACACTAGCGATGATGATGTCATCAGACCTGTCCCTGACTGGCTCAACGACACAGGGCTGAACCCTGACCCCTGCCAACCGGACTACAGAGTCACCACTCACGTGAAAGACTACAACTCCCTACCTCCCCGTTTTAAAGACTTCCTTCTCTACATGCGCTGTCGGTCGTACCCTCTAGTGGTGGACCAGCCTCACATCTGCCAAAAGACCCAGGGAGGGGAGCCGCCCTTCCTCCTACTGGCCATCAAATCCCTTGTTCCGCACTTTGACCGCCGCCAGGCCATCCGCCAGTCGTGGGGTCGAGCCGGCGTCCTCGCCAACCGGACGGTTGTCACGGTGTTCCTGCTCGGCAACACCACAGCCGTGGACCACAACCCAGACCTGTCGGAGATGATGCGCTATGAGAACGCTCGCCACCGCGACATCCTCCAGGTATCTATAATATAAAGTATTCAGACCCCTCAACCTTTTTCACATTTTGTTAGGTTACAGCCTTATTCTAAAATTGATTTAAATAGTTTTTTCCCCACATCTATCTACACACAATACCCCATAATGACAAAGCAAAAACAGGTTTTTAGAAATAGGGAGAGATTGAATATGTCCGTAAACACACCAGCCAGCTGGTCTGCGCATGCTCTGAGGACGCGGCTAGGGATGCCGTCTGGGCCGGAAGCCTTGCGGCGGTTAACATACTTAAATGTCTTACTCACGTCGGCCACGGAGAAGTAGAGTCCTTGGTAGTGGGCCTCGTCAGTGGCACTGTGTTATCCTCAAAGCGGGCGAAGAAGGTGTTTAGCTTGTCCGGATGCGAGACGTCGGTGTCGACGACGTGGCTGCATTTCCTTTTGTAGTCCATGATTTCTGTAGACCCTGCCACATACGTCTCGTGTCTGAGCTGTTGAATTGCGACTCCACTTTGTCTCTATACTGATGTTTTGCCAGTTTAATTCCCTTGCGGAGTGAGTAGCTACACTGTTTGTATTCTGCCATATTCCCAGTCCCCTTGCCATGGTTGAATGCGGTGTTTCGCGCTTTCAGTTTTGCGCGAATGCTGCCATCTATCCACGGTTTCTGGTTAAGGTAGGTTTTAATAGTCACAGTGGGCACATCATCTCCTATACACTTCCTGATAAACTCAGTCACCGTTTCAGTGTATTCGTCTAAATAATTTTTGCATGCTACCCAGAACATATCCCAGTCCGTGTGATCAAAACAATATTGAAGCGTGGATTCCGATTGGTCAGGCCAGCGTTGAATAGTCCTTAGCACGGGTACTCTCTGTTTGAGTTTCTGCCTATAGGAAGGGAAGAGCAAAATGGAGTCGTGGTCAGATTTGCCGAAAGGAGGGCGGGGGAGGGTCTTATAACCATCCCGGAAGTTTGAATAGCAATGGTCGAATTTTAGCAGCTCGAGTACATCAGTCGATATGTTGATAGAACTTCGGCAGCCTAGTCCTCAAATTTGCTTTGTTAAAATCCCCGGCTACAATAAATGCAGCTTCAGGATATGTGGTTTCCAGTTTGCATAAAGTCCAGTGAAGTTCTTTTGAGGGCCGTCGTGGTATCGGCTTGAGGGGGGATATACACGGCCGTGACTATAACCAAAGAAAAGTCAGCATTTGATTGTGAGGTATTCTAGTTCGGGTGAACAAAAGGACTTGAGTTCCTGTATGTTACTACAATTACACCATGAGTTGTTAATCATGAAACACACACCTACGCCCTTCTGGTTCCCGGAGAGATATTTATTTCTGTCTGCGCGATGAAATAATGTAAAAAAGAATATATATTTTTTATGCAACGTTTTCTAAGAGCTAGTCGCGAGGCCGCCATCTTCTTCTTCATCTTCATAGTTTTGATGTCTTCACTATTATTCTACAATGTAGAAAATAGTAAAAATAAAGAAAAACTCTTGAATGAGTAGGTGTGTCCAAACTTTTGACTGGTACTGTACATGTTAACATCCTCCAGGTAACAATAATATACATGTTAACATCCTCCAGGTATCAATAATATACATGTTAACATCCTCCAGGTATCAATAATATACATGTTAACATCCTCCAGGTATCAATAATATACATGTTAACATCCTCCAGGTATCAATAATATACATGTTAACATTCTCCGGGTATCAATAATATACATGTTAACATCCTCCAGGTATCAATAATATACATGTTAACATCCTCCAGGTAACAATAATATACATGTTAACATCCTCCAGGTATCAATAATATACATGTTAACATCCTCCAGGTAACAATAATATACATGTTAACATCCTCCAGGTATCAATAATATACATGTTAACATCCTCCAGGTAACAATAATATACATGTTAACATCCTCCAGGTAACAATAATATACATGTTAACATCCTCCAGGTATCAATAATATACATGTTAACATCCTCCAGGTATCAATAATATACATGTTAACATCCTCCAGGTATCAATAATATACATGTTAACATCCTCCAGGTATCAATAATATACATGTTAACATTTAGGGTATGGGTTTTCAAACCTCTCCTCTGGGACCCCCAGACATTCCATGTATTTAACTATTCCACAACTAGCACACCTCATTCACCTTGTCAACTAATCATCAAGCCCTTGAATAGGTGAATCAGGTGAGTTAGTTCAGGGCTACAACTACAAATTGTGAAACGTCTGGGGGGTCCCTGAGGAGAGGTTGGAGAACGTCTGGGGGGGTCCCGCTGGAGAAAAACCACTGATTTAGGAGCCCCTCTTCTCCAGAGGTATTGTAGCATTCGTCTTAAAGTTAGCTAGGTAAGAGAACCACATATCACAGTCATAGTAAGCAACTACCTCTGCCAATGTAAATGTTTCTTCCTTCAGGTAACAATCATGTAAATGCCTATGGCAACATAGATGTTTCCTTATTCCTTATAAGCGCCTAATTAGGATTAAAATAATTCTGTTAACGTTAACTTTTCCACAGATTTTCCAGAGATCCTGGTTGGAGGATTTCCGGATTTCCTGCTTATCCCCTCCTGATTCCGGAATCCTCCAATCAGATCTCTAGAGTCTAGGGGTGTTTTCATGCTAGGTCCCTTTCAGCCAGTTTCTGCTTATTTTGTTTGTGGGTGTGGTGTGAATACGCCAAAGGAACTCCGACCTCTCCAAAAGAACCCCCGAAGCGAACTGAACCTGAGACCATCTCGAGAGGTGGTCTGAGTTTGGGTCGCTTTAATTCTGTGGTCCGGTTCCCTTTTTTAGGGCAATGTGAACGCGAAGCTCCCCAGGTTCGCTTGTCATTATTCCCGCACCATACACTAGACTACTGCAACACCGTTTCCCCTGACATAACCCCTCACATTGGTGCCACAAAAGAGAGAAGATGATGTGCAGGTTCACGGGAAAAAAATTTGTGCAGATTTTGGATATTGATTAACGATTGTCAAGGACGCACAGAAATTCCAAAATGTGTGAAGTGTTTAGTTCAGATTATTTGTTTGCAATATGTGATCTATAGGCTAAGAGAGCTTCATAAGCTGTTTATTGATTGTGGGGTTTGAATAGTGTGAGAAGACGGCATATTTGGTGAGAATCACAACATAGTGTACAAAATCTATTCTAGCTCTTAAAGGATAAAGGTAGCCTACCTTGGGTGTAAAATGTTCAAATACAGCACTATTTATTTAAAATATATATTTTTTAATGATTTGATAAAATATTGAATTTGTCCGTAAATACCAACTCCCGTAGAAATGAGTTGAATAACACATTCAGAAAAGACAGTCAACAAATAAATGATAAGGAATAATGTTTTGAAGTGTCTGTCCTATATGTAGGAGCTATAAGAAAGATCAGGAAATGTTTTTATAAAAATAAATGACACTATTTAACCCCCCTTTCTTTAAGTAAGCACAAAACTACCTCCATACTTCCATTCATAAAAAATAAAATAATGTTGTTGGTTACCTTCAGACGAGTCCTGTGACACTTGTGGGGGTTGTAGAGCAAAACGGAGAACACCATGGTGTTGGTGAGAGTCATCTTTCCATAGTGGTCTCATGGTCTGACTAACAGCGCTGTAGCTCGGACACCTTCCACCGGAGATGCAGAAGGGTAGATTGAGTGGCAGCACGTGTAAAAAAAAAAAAAAAAACCCTCTGTAGCTTAAACTGACTCATTTTGATGGGGATTATGTTACTTTGATTGACGCACCGGTGCATCAATTGACTCTAGGGATTATTAATATATACGGACTGATTTGTGTGGCAATGTATTACGACTGTCTGTTATGTCTTTTAACGCTCACTGAGTGGTCCACAATGTTGGTTCTAATCTGTAATACGTCTTGTCAAATGTTGCAATATTGGGGAGTGACACAGGGATACTCAAACTATTTTTAAGTATGCTGACATAAAAAACATGGGATTGGATAAACAGTGGAATAATGAACAAAATACTAAAAGCGTTTTTGAGTAAAATATCCCTTTAATTGATTGTTCTAACTCTACCTCCAGTGGGACTACCGGGACTCGTTCTTCAACCTGACCGTCAAGGAGGTGCTCTTCCTGGACTGGATGACCACAAGCTGCCCCGGTGCTCAGTTCATCTTTAAAGGGGACGATGACGTCTTTGTCAATACGTTGAGGATCCTGGGCTTCCTCAAGGGCCTCTCTGGGCCCCGGGCAAGGGACCTGTTCGTAGGGGATGTGATCACCAACGCGGGGCCACACAGGGACAAAAAGGTCAAGTACTTCATCCCAGAGAGTTTGTTCGTTGGCACGTACCCGCCGTATGCGGGCGGAGGGGGGTATCTGTACTCCGGGGACCTGGCCAGGCGGCTGCATGGGGCCTCGCAGCGCGTACCGCTCTATCCCATCGATGACGTTTACACAGGGATGTGTCTGAGGAAACTGGGACTGGGGCCAGAGAAACATAAAGGCTTTAAGACGTTTGACATTGAGGAGAAGTACAGGAGTAACCCGTGTGCCTATAAGGGTCTGATGCTGGTACATAGCCGGACACCACAGGAGATGATCCAGATCTGGGCCTGGCTCAATGACCCCGACTTGACCTGTCAGTAACTACCCAGCCGGTGTCCATTTTGACTTCAGCTTTCAGAAACCGAGGACAACAGGTCGGCGGCCATTTTGATTTAGCTGTCGGTAACCAGTGAAGACAGGTGACTTGAACTGTCGGTAACTGCCTGGACCAGACACCACGACAGGTGGCTATTTTGTTATGTTGGTTGTTATAGGAACTCTGTCAGAGGTCAGTGGCCACTGTTTTGTGACACTTGGTAGGGTTGTTACATTCTAAAGGTCGGCCACCATTTTGAGACTTTTTTTTGGGGGGCAGGATTATTACTCTTGGAGGGTCAGTTGGACATTGGCAGCTTTAATGTTGTTATTATCATGGTCATTGATGTTAGTTAACCACCTTCAAAGTGGGATTGTTGATAAACATTTCAGGTTTTGAATCCCAAGATAAAGAGGGAGTGATTGTGATGGCGGTACAATGGCGGACCAACGTGTCTCTGCGCTTTCAAAATGGCCAAGATAGTGTTTTGATAAAGTCTGATTGATGGACCTTTATGATTTAACACAGTGTGTCTGATGGCACAAATAGCCTTTAACATGCTGTATTATGAGGAGTTGGAGACGGAGGTTGTATGAGCAGCCTGATCCCAGATCTGTTGGTTGTTTTCCGTACCAATGACCATAGGAGTTGGCAAGACGGCACAAACTGATCTGGGACCAGGTTAATGGGTGAGTGCTCAGCTGGTCTGGGCCGTGCTAGATAGAAATGTCCAAAAAGCTGTTTGGTCGTTCCACGAAATGAGACCCTTTTGGGTAATGTAACTTGGTAAAAACAAACAAAAAAAGAGCACATGTTCAACTTGAAAAAACAAACATGTTTTCCCATCTGCAGAGGTCTGACTGATGGACCTTTATGATAATACTGTGTCTGGTGGCACAAAGAGCCTTTAAAATGCTGTAAAACAATGACTATAGTAAGTGCCTATTAAGTGCCAAATACAGTAACAGGGTTGACCGTAACAGGGTTGACGTGTTCATCTTAAATCAGCCAAAAATCTCATTGTGACAGGAAGAATGGAAGCTTGTTGTGTGCAACAGGGAGGGGCAATTGAATTCAGCCTTAAAAAAGATGTATATAGATATATAACTATGGGTAGCATGGTGGACGTGTTATGCTCGACCCACTCAGTTTTCCACCACAAAACACCAGTCAATGACCAGAAAGAGTAGAACCAGCTCACCTGCTTTTACACTGATTTGACTATTAGATGTTCAACGTTCCTTTTGAAAAAAATATGTAAGAAAGAATAGTTTCACCAACAAGAGTTCAGTTCACGTAACAGGGTTGACCTTAAAATTAGGGGCAGTTTATTGATTTATTATTTTTTTTTACCTTAAAATAAATCACTAATCACATGAAATGTATTAATCTCTAGAAATGCCTTTGTCAAAGCAGCAAAATAACTAGGGCTTTCCAACGGTGGTGAAAACTTGGAGACAGTTTGGGGTTAAAGGGGCAGTCAGCAGTTGCTACATCCATTTTTGATTATTGAAGAATATAACTGATAAATACCTCATGAGCTTAGTTCAACTGTCATACCCCATCAGACCTTGCATCCATAGCCCTGTCTATGAATTTGAGAGTGGTTACATTTCTTCAGCCCCATCCCTCAGCTTTTTACCAAAACAGGTGGGGAGTTGCTTTATTGTTTCTACTACCAATTGCCACTTTAAGTGGGTTAAAATCTTCCTAGAAGTCAGAGGGAAATGCCAAAATACTGAATTTATGGCACTTTAGCAAGTCTTTATTCATATAAAAAAATCAGATTTTGTGTTCTATATTAAAGGGCACTTATTTTAATATACAAGGCTTTTAAATCAAATCAAATCACATTTTATTGGTCACATACACTTGTTTAGCAGATGTTATTGCGGGTGTAGTGAAATGCTTGTGTTTCTTGCTCCGACAGTGCAGTAATATCTAACAAGTAATATCTAACAATTTTTCAATATATACAGACAAATCTAAGTGAAGCAATGGAAGTAAGAATATATAAATAAATATATGGACGAACAATGTCAGAGCAGCATAGACTAAGATACAGTAGAATAGTATAGAATACAGTATATACATATGAGTTGAGTAATGCAAGCTATGTAAACATTTTTAAAGTTTAAAATGCAGTATTGGTGCACTATTGTTATTGAAATATCAAAGGGATGCGAAAGAAACGTTTGTGGAATGACCCTGTTCAGCTTTGCTTCAGGTCCTCCTTATAAGCCAGCCATCCTCATTAACAAAGAAACTGTCAAGCTGAAATGGCTGGTTGTAGCATATTTTCACAAAGACCAATGTTATTTTTATATCGAACACAATGCCCCCCCCCACAAACTATAACAAAGATGAAGCTTGAACCATGACCGAGGCGATTGGCTAGTGGGTGATTCGTGTTTTTAAGCTTTTGTTTTGCAACTGTGTTACTGCCTGTTTGCAAATAGATCAGAGCGAAATACTGTTTATTTATCCACAATAATTACTCTTCTTGTCAGAAGGTCAAAAGCCATGTCAAAGGTCAAATCCAGTATATTCTATTCCACCGCTGCCTTAAAGATGTGGGGAAGACTGGTGTGGAAGATTTCCTTCAATTTACGTCAGAGAATTTCCCTCATTTGTAATTCAAATGTTGATGTAACTAATATTTTATGTCCTAGCAGTAATCTGCATCTAGGACGATCTAGCCTAAATGGTTGTATGTTTATAAGGTGTTTTATTTATCAACTGTAATGGTTTAATCAACTGTCTGCACAATTTCTTATTGCGTGTGTATTTTACTGTTGAAAGAAATGGATGGTGAATACGTTACATATTTACACTGTGCCCAGGTCAGGAATGGCTTGCATCAATTAATATATCTATATGCTGTACGTAGAGGGCCGTTGTGCCCGGAAGCAGGGCTGTACGTAAAGGGGTGTTGTGCCAGGAAGACAGGTCATTGGCTCCATCTTAATAATGTTTTTAATATACATACACATCTGGGCCTCCATTCAGTTGTAAAACCAAACGTTGTGGAACGTTGCAGACAGAAATGTCATTAATAGAGCTGTAGGATTCCTGATCCTACAGGTTAGAGAGGCATGTTTGTTCTACATAAAATATATCTGAACATTCCACAACAATGTGCGCTGCGGTGGCCTCTGCTACAAAGAGGGCGGAAGTCAGTCTCCTGCTGGACAGGTGTTGAATAAAAGAGTTGGTGCTGTTTTGTTGAAAACACTGAATCGTTTCGGCCCTTTACGTACACAGCTTGCATCTTTCCCCAATACATTGCAACCTCGCATTTTCTGCCGGTGAGAAGGAACCAATGAAAGGACTCCCCTGTTTGCCTGGGTCAGAGTACAGGGCCGTATTCCTCTATTCACCCTGAAGACAGAGACCCTGTTGAAATACAATCACCTTCAGTCCTTTCTTGGTGATTATCTCTGATCTTTCATGATGTGGTTGTTTTCCCTCCATCACATCTGTCAACAGACTGTCAAATCAGAACAATTATCAACAAAGGAAGGAGGGAAGGGAAGGAAAGGTCTAGAAGCATTTGTAGAAAATATATATAACAGGGTTGAAGACCTGGTACAGCCTAATGCTGCTGAGTGTTCCCATCGGAACTGTACTGGTCCAATAACAAACGTTAATTTTCGTTTTACGTTACAAAAGTTTTCAAAGCTATTTTCCATAGTGTACCCTAATGAACAGGACCCAGAAGTGTAAGCCGAGAAGCTCGCAAATTAGTATTTCCTAGGAGATTTTGGGGAGAGATTCTAGTTAACCCAGCCATAAAGTCATAAACCCTGCCCACTTCTTCAATTTATCTTCTTAAAATGTGTTTTTAAACCTAACCTTAACCACACTGCTGACCTTATGCCTAACCTTAAATTAAGACCAAAAATAACACTTTTGTTTTCATGAATTTTTACGATGTAGACAATTTTGACTTTGTGACTGCAGTAAATAGTATCTTGCCCCAAAATCTCCTAGGAAAAACACATTCGCAAGCAGCTCTCACTTCTTACGTCCTGTGAGGTCATGTGACTTCCTGTTTCCCTGGCGTTCATTGGGACTTACTGTATCTCATCAAAGGTCAAACCAAAAACGGTAACAGGATGTCGTCCGCGCATGCTGTATCAAACCAAAATATAACATGGCCTGTCAGGGGGTTAGAGTAGGGTGGAGAATGTTTACATTTGTAAATGTATACATAATGTATTTTATTTACAATCCTGATTTTAAAGTCCGCTATGCCACTATGGTCTCCAGCTACTGCATTGCAGACAAGCCTTTCAGTATATCACATTATTATTTATCTGACTGAGGCTTGAATTCAGGCACTTGGTGACTTAATGTTAATATCGCTTCTGTTATATCTAATATCGCTTCTTTTTCTACACCACCTTCTGTTTCTCCTCGCGTCTCGCCTCTCTCACTCCTCTCGCCTCTCTCACTCCTCTCGCCTCTCTCACTCCTCTCGCCTCTCACTCCTCTCGCCTCTCTCTATTTGATCACTTGTCCTGTTTCTCCATGGACTTGATGAAAGTCAAACATTAATTCATTCTCCTAATTTCTGTTTGAATGTAAAATATTCCTCTATTGCGACACACAAAAAAATGACGTTAGAGGCGGCTTATGGTAGAGAAATGAACATTCAATTCTCGGGCAACAGCTCTGGTGGACATTCCTGCAGTCAGCATGCCAATTGCACGTTCCCTCATAACTTGAGACATCTGTGGTGTTGTGTAACAAAACCACACATTTTAGAGTGGCCTTTTATTGTCCCCAGCACAAGGTGCACCTGTGTAATGATCATGCTGTTTAATCAGCTTCTTGATATCCCACACCTGTCAGGTGGATGGATTATCTTGGCAAAAGATAAATACTCACTAACAGGGATGTAAAGAAATCTGTTCACGAAATTTGAGAGAAATAAGCTTTTTGTGCGTTATGGAACATTTCTGTGATCTTTTATTTCAGCTCATGAAACATGGGACCAATACTTTACATGTTGCGTTTATGTTTTTGTTCAATATACATATCTAGAGCAGTGTCTATTTCCATGGTCCAAACCCTTATGTTTCCCTTGGTTATGAACCATTGATGATTTTGTAATCACATTAATGTTTATCTGTGGTTATGTCCTCTCTCGACCATAACATAACATTCCTGTAATCTGTTGGAATTGTGTATGTCTTGGTGTCGCAAAATTCGAGTAACTTTTCCCAAATTCCCAGGTTTTCCAGAATTCCAGGTTGGAAGATTCCCAGGCTGAGGAGGGAACAAGCAAGAAATAAGCATCCTCCAACCAGGATTCATGGAAAACCTGGGAATATGGGGAAAGTTACCAGGTTTTTGCCACACTATAAGACTTGATTTGGACGCATTCTGCACAATAGAGATATCTATATATTATAAACCAATACGTGCCTTTTGTTTCTTGTTACCAATTGTGTCAATATTATATGGTTCCTTTGATTTGTTTCACCTGCTATTTTCAGAACCATGCCGTGTGTGGTTCTTTTGCTATGACTTTTGATTTTTTCAATAAATAATACTTTGCTGTTTTTGTAGATGCTGTTGGAAAATTGTTTTATTATAGAAGAAATGCTATCCCCGTTTTTAGAAGA